GGGACAAGGGTAGGACCGTAAAGAGCAATACTTAACCAAAATGCCTGTGAAGCAGAAAAGGACCATTTAGAGTATCAGTGAACTGAATGGATCTTGGCTCCAGGAAAGGAGAGAGGACTCATGCCTGTGAATGTGCAATGTAACTGCTCTTTGATTTAGGTTTCTCCTTTGTGAGAAAGGCAGGTGGAAGTCATTGAGACCAAAGCAAGGTTTTTGGGTGTCTTTGGGCATAGCCATGGAACCACTGACAAGGCCTTTTAAGATTTTTCCCAAGGCCAGTGGGCCAGCTGATCTAGGAGCAAAACTGACTGAGGATGGAAAAAGGGAACACAGGCTGTCCGAAACTCTGGACAGTCCGTCTGATGACCTGTGTGGGGGTGAGGAGATGTGCCTGAGTCACTGAGAAAATTCCACCCCTGCCTGGTCATGTCTGAAGGGCAGTTTCTTGTCCAATTACAAATCTATCACCTAAGAACCTGCAACAGATCCATTATCATTCTCAGGGTCACAGCCTCCATGGCTTTGCTTATTTTCAGACTGGAAAGGAAATACAATTTTGCACATATCTCCATCTCCCTCCCCTTGTCTTGTCTCCAATCCAGACTTTCACTTAACTCAACCATCTCCTTGCACCCAGGAATAATTCATGGCACATTTTCATGCTTGAATGGGATCTGAATGGACAGAATGGGCTGCTTCCTGGCCTATTCTATCTTTGCAAGAGAGAGCTAGAAGAGATGCCTCCTCTACTTTCATTTCTGGAGGTTTCCACACAGCACTAAATTGAAGAAAAGGCCTATCCAAGGCCTAATAATCAGATCAGTGCTAATGGAGAGATTGGATTTGGTGAGCTGCTGAGAAACATGCACTTTGGATCAACTTGGTTTATCTGACAGGGAACCCAGGAAAAGGCCACTGACCCTGTTCCCTAGAGAGACAACTTGGGCTTCTTTCCTCAAACTCTTCTAAAGGTTTGGAATGGAGGGAAAAACAATGCTAATCTTATTTTCATCTGTAAATCTCCTTTCTATCAATCACAAATGCTTGAAAGAGACTAAACTCAGGAGTCAGATTACAGAGCCAGCTGCAGAGCTGAGGGTGGCTCTTGGGTTGTCCTACTTTGGCCAAGCCCTTCATGGATCACAATCTTGTCATGGTGTAGAGGCTTTCATAACTCAATGAAGCTATGAGCTGAGCCATACTGTGCAGTGCCACCCAAGACAGATGGGCCATAGTGAAGAGTTCTGACAATCTGTGGTTCACTAGAGGAGTTGCAACCCATTCCAGTATTCTTGCTGAGACACCCCCCATGAACAGCACTAAACGGCAAAAAGATATGGCACGGGAAGATAAGCTCCCCAAAGCAGGTGGCCAATATGCAACTAGGGAGGAGCAGAAGGCAATTACTAATAGCTCCAGAAATAATGAAGTGGCTGGGGCAAAGCAGAAATGATGCTCAGTTGTGCATGTGTCTGGTTGTGAAGGTAAAGTCCAATGCTATAAAGAACAATAAGGCACAGGAACCAGGAATGTTTGGGTCCATGAATAAATTGGACACAGTCAAGCAGGAGATGAAAAGCACGAACACTGGCATCTTAGGAAGCAGTCAACTAAAATGGAGAGGAATAAGGGAGTTTAATTCAGATGACCATCATATATACTACTGTGGGTAAGAACTCCTTAGAAAAAAATGGAGTAGCCCTCCTAGTCAACAAGAGTCTGAAATGCAGTGTTTGGGTTCAGCCCCCAAAATGATAGAATGATCTCAGTACATTTCCAAGGCAAACCATGCAACATCACAGTAATCCAAGTTTATGTCTCAACCACTGATGCCAAGGAAGCTGAAGTTGACTGATTCTATGAAGACCTGTAACACCTTCTAGAAATAACACCAGAAAAGATGTCCTTTCATCATAGTGGACTGGACTGCAAAAGTAGGAAATCAAGATTCCTGGAATAACAGGCAAGTCTGGCCTTAGAATACAAAATGAAGCAGGGCAAATGTTAACAGAGTTTGGTCAAGAGAACATGGTTTGTTTGTTCAGAGCAAACACCTGTTTCGAGCAACCCAAGGATGACTATACACGGACATCAATAGATGGTCAAAACTGAAATCAGATAGATTATGGTCTTTGCATCCAAAGATTGAGAAGCTGTATACAGTTAGCAAAAACAAGTCCTGGAGCTGACTGTGGTTCAGATCACTAGTGCCTTGTTGCAAAATTCAGGCTTCAATTGAAGAAAGTAGGAAAATCACTAGACTATTCAGGTGTGTGTGTTAGTTGCTCAGTCATGTCTGACTCTGTGTGACTCCATGAGCTGTAGCCTGCTATGCTCCCCTGTCCACAGGATTCTCCAGGCAAGAATACTGGAACGGGTTGTCATGCCAGACAACCAATTCCAGACCCAGGGGTTGAACATGGGTGTCCTGAACTGCAGGTGGATTTTTACCATCTGAGCCACCTGGGAAGACCATTCAGGTATGACCTAAATCAAATCTCTTATACAGTGGAGGTGATGAATAGATTCAAGTGATTAGATCTGATAGAGTGCCTGAAGAATTGTGGATGGAGGTTTGTAACATTGTACATGAGACAGTGACCAAAACCATCCCCTAAAAAGAAATGCAAGAAGGTAAAGTGGCTATCTGAGGAGGCTTTACAAGCAGCAGAAGAAAGAAGAGAAATAAAAGGCAAGGGAGAAAGAGAAAGATATACCCAACTGAATGCAGAGTTCCAGAGAACAGTAAGGAGAGATAAAGAGGCCTCCTTAAAAGAGCAATGCAAATAAATAGAGGAAAACAACAGAATGAAAAAGACTAGAGATCTCTTCAAGAAAATTGGAGACATCAAGGGACCATTTCATGCAAAGATGGGCAAAATAAAGGACAGAAATGGGAAGGACCTAACAGAAACAGAAGAGACTAAGAAGAGGTGACAAGAATACATAGAAATAAGCAGAAAAAGTCTTAATGACCCAGAGAACCACAATGCTGTGGTTACTCACCTAGAGCCAGACATCCTGGAGTGTGAAATCAAGTAGGCTTTTGGAAGCATTACTACAAACAAAACTACTGGAGTTGATGAACTATTTAAAATCTTAATCTACCTGAACTACTTAAAATTCTAAAAGATGATGCTGTTAAAGTGCTGCACTCAATATGCCAGAAAATTTGGAAAACTCAGCAGCAGTCACAGGACTGGAAAAGGTCAGTTTTCATTCCAATCCCAAAGGACAATGACAAAGAACGTTCAAACTACTGTACAATTGGGCTCATTCCACATTGCCAGCAAGGTAATGCTCAAAATCTTTCAAGCTAGGCTTCAGCAGTATGTGAACCAGGAACTTCCAGATATACAAGCTGGATTTAGAAAAGGCAGAGGAACCAGAGATCAAATTGCCAACATCTGTTGGATCACAGAAAAAGCAAGGGAGTGGCAGAAAAACATCTAACTCTGCTTCGTTGACTATGCTAAAGCCTTTGGCTATGCAGATCATGATAAGTTGTGGAAAGTTCTTAAAGAGATAGGACTATGAGCCACCTTACCTGTTTCCTCAGAAACCTGTATGCAGGTCAAGAAGCAACAGAACCAGATATGGAACAATGGACAAGTTCAAATTTGTGAAAGGTGTACAAGGTTGTATATTGTCACCCTGCTGATCTAATGTCTACACAGAGTATGTGATGGGAAGTGCCAGGCTGGGTGAATCACAAGCTGGAATCAGGACTGCCAAGAGAAGTATCAATAACCTCAGATATGCAGATGATACCACTCTAAAGGCAGAAAGTGAAGAGTCTCTTGATGAAGGTGAAAGACAAGAGTGAAAAAGCTGACTTGAAACCCAACATTTAAAAAACTAAGATCATGGCAACCGGTCCTATCACTTCATGGAAAATACAAGGGGTAAAAGTTGAAGCATTGACAGATATTATTTTCTTGGGCTCTAAAATCACTGTGGATGGTGACTGCAGCAATGAAATTAAAAGATGCTTGCTCCTTTGAAGGAAAGCTATGACAAACCCAGACAGGGTATTAAAAAACAGCATGATCTCTGTAGAAAAAGATCCATATAGTCAAAGGTATGGTTTTTCTGGTAGTCATGTACAGATATGAGAGTTGGACCATAAAGAAGGCAAAGCTCTGAAGAATAGATGCTTTCGAATTGAAATGCTGGACAAGACTGTTGAGACTCTCTTGGACATCAAGGAGACCCAAACAGCCGATCCTAAAGTAAATCAACCCTGAATATTCAGTGGAAGGACTGATGCTGAAGTTGAAGCTCCAATACTTTGTTTGGTCACCTGGTGCGAAAAGTGGACTCACTGGAAAAGACCCTGGTGCTGGGAAAGATTGAAGGCAAAAGAAAAAGAGGGCAGCAGAGGATGAGATGGTTAGATAGGATCACCAACTCAATGGACATGACTTTGAACAAACTCCAGGAGAAGGTAGAGGTCAGAGGAGCATGGCCTGCAGCTGTCCATGTCATCACAAAAAGCTGGACACGTCTTAGAAACTGAACAACAAACCTCTGCCACAGATGCGACCAACAGGATGGTATGCTTGAACTCTTGTGTTCCAGGACTCCATGTTGACACCAAAGCTCTTCTATGTCCTTTATAGGCTGAGCTGGGTATGAGACTGGCCATTCTTGCCTCCACTCCAACTCTAAAAAAGAGGACCTTGAACCTCTAACCTTTGGATTTTTAACCTTGAAAGCAGTTCAAATTGGGTGAAAACATGGGTGGAGACGGGTTGGGGTAGGCTGAAAATGCAGGGACTCGCAGTGAAAAGTGGACGGCCAATTGTAGAGCTCTCTAAAGCATGCTGCTGAGTATCTCTGACACAGGGGAGGTGGTAGGGTCCTCTGGGCTCAACTCCGGGCCAGCGGCACTGGGCAGGCCTGAGGGGCCTACAACGGCAGGGCTCAAGGCAGCCCAGGGTTTGGTGTCCACCAGGGCTGCAGGGTAGGCCTCCACGTAGATGTGGTGCACTGCAGGCCTAGGGTCCTGGAGGCTGCTCTTCCTCTCCTCCGGGAGGCTGGCAGCATGGGCCAGAGCCAGGCCCCGTGGCCCCTCGGGGGCAGGTCCTAGTCGCTCGGCCTCCTCAGGCTCCTGAGGCAGGCCGCAGGCCCTGGAAAGGTGCTGTGTGTACACGCCCTCTGACAGCGACAGCGACTGCGTTTCGCTGTGCATGCGCAACCAGCGGTGATGGCGGCTGAAGCCGCCGTAGTGCGGCTGCTTGGCCGACTTCCGTTTTCCCAGGAAGCCCAGCGGCGGCCGCGCTCCTGGCGCCATCTTGGCGTGGTTCTTGGGCGGGAGGCCTGTGAGGGTCAGGTTGTGCAGGAGCTCGGCGCATGAGTGGTTGGTGTCTTGGCCTGGCCCCGAAGAAGGCTTCATATCGTGCACCTGCAGAACGTCGGGGGCACTGCCGCTGAGTCCGTTTCGGGACTGCTGGGCAATGTCGTGCGATGACAGGTAGACCAGGTCCAGGTCCCGGGGGCTCAGGGCGTCACTGGAGTCGTAGTCGCTGTCGGTGGGCAGGAAGACTTCTGAGCAGCCTTCTTCGTCAGAGCAAGGCTGTGAATCTGCAAAGCCAGAGACTGCACTTAGAAAAAATAGAAACTCCTAGCCAGGGCTCAAGTACGGTCCTATGTTTGAGCCCTCACCCCCGTGCCTAGAAGGGCTTACGCTTTGTTTAGTGGTCTCCGCTCATTTCTTGATATTTTAGTAAGTTTTGAGCAAGGGGTCCCACATTGTCGTGCTGTATAGGACTGTATAAGTTATGTAGTAGATCCTGTTCTTAGCTAAAAGCAGGAGGGAGAGGGAGTCTGACTGGACCAACCAGCCTTGCAGCAGCAGAGGGCAACATGCCCTCCCTTGCCCACGCCTAATTTTACTATTCACTTTCCCCTGGACTTGTGGAGAGAGGGTGAAACAGGAAATAAAGCTGGATGTCATTCATTTATTCGTTCCCTAATTTCAGAGGTGATTTTTACATTTGATAAAATAGAAACTTAAAAGGGGAAAGAAGAGGAGGCCCTATGGTGGCAGAAGTCAGGGAAACCTGGATTCAAACCCTGGTTGTCCTCCAGATTGCTCTGTGATCTTGGGAAAGTTACTTAACCTCTTTGAGCTTCAGTTTTCTTATCTGCAAAATGGGGGTGATAATAGAACTTCTTAAAGTGACTGTGAAAAAAGTCTTGTATACATATAAATAGTTGACCTTGTTGTCAGTGTTTAAAAAGAGAAAAAATTAAGGCCAAGAGAGAAAATAAAACAGAAGTAAAATCAGAGGTGAAAATCAGCCTCAAAGGGCATGCTATGCTGATCATAAGTGAACCAGAAGTTTAGTTCTGTAAATACAGTATTTGTAATTTAATGCAGTACAGAATGTTTATGTCTTTTTTCCAACCAGGTTGTACATTTCTGCAGGACAAAATCTGTCTTAAAAGCCTTTGAATTTTCCACAGAATTCAGTCCACATTGGGTACTTAGTAAATATAAGCTAATTTTGAAAAGATTCAAGTCCTTTTAAAAAGAACAAGAAATTGCTCATTTTCAAATCTGAGCCAGTCCCGTTCAAAAATCGCCATAGGATTATTTATTTATTTGGGTGCACTGGATTTTAGTTGCAGCAGGACAGATCTTTAGTTGTGGCATGCAAGATCTAGTTCCCTGACCAGGGGTCTCACTAGGGCCTGCGCTGAGTCTTAGCCACTAGACCACCAGGGAAATCCCTTCCGTGGGATTTTTAAATGGAATTTAGTAAATTGATTTTTTAAATTTATCAGGAAAAGAAAATTTGTGAAAATAACTAAGCTTTTTTTAAGGTCCAATAGGAAAGAGCCTGATTTATGAGGTATCAGAACATATTACAGAATTTTGGTAATTGCAACTTTGTAGAATTGATGTTTAATGGACAGATGGATCTGTAAAACAGAAATATAAAGTTCAGGAACTGTCTTAATTCAGTGTGATGATTGAACATATGGTAAAGATAACATTTCAGACTAGGGGAGTGAATAGATTTTTTAGTATATAGTGTTGGTGTAAGTGGTTATCCTTTGGTAAAATAATTAGAGAATGTCCTCCCTCATCTCATATATAAAAGTAAATTCCATGTAGTTTAAATATAACAAGCAAACTCTACAAGTATTAGAAAACAGTATGTTTGTAATTTTGGGTAGGAAGGTCTTTCTAAGCAAAATAAAACCCCAGAAGTCAGAAAAGAAGTAACTGATAATTTGACTATATGAAAGCTTAATATTTTGAAATGATCACATAAACAAGGTAAAGGTAAGGGGTAGATTGAAAGAAAATAGTGATAATATGTATAAGAAAAGATTAATTTTACAGGCTACATAAAGATTTCCTGTAAATTAGAAGACAATCCAGATGGGCAGAAGATAGCCAACACTTCAAAGAATATTTAATACGAATGGCCAATAAGCATAATAAAGCTATTCAACCTAGGTAGACTATAATTACTAATTAGGTAGTAATTTGGGAAATGCAGTTGAAGTAAAAACAGGGCATTTTTTTTTTGCCCATCAGATTTGCTGAAAATAAATAGAATGATGAACTCCTGTGTTGAGAAGAATGATAATCTCTTGTGTTGGTGATGTGTTGGAAGTCAGGGACCCTCATATAATGGTGGTGGGAATATAAGCTGGTCTGGCTCTTTAGATAGCAGCTTCATAGAACAGGTTAAAAATGTGCATATCATTTGTCCTAGCAAGTCCTTTTTTTAGATATCTGTGTTTGAGAAATTGTCACTATGTGTACATGGAAGCATTTACAAATTGTTTACTGTAACATGATTTATATTAGTGAAAAACTAGAAATAACCTTGTGGCTGAGACTACTGTGAAAGGAAGACTTAGAGACACAGAAGCATTAAGAAAAGAAAAATAGTTTAAGAAAGGAAAATACTTTACTTGGCAAAGTTCTGCAAGGGAGTCCAAATTCAGTACTGGCTTGCTGATTAAAAAATACAACAGATATTTGAAGTAAAAACCCACAGGGTTATAAGGTTATAGTTAGTCTGTTCATGGTGGAAAATTAGACATGATTATCAGAAGAATATTGTAAGCTTCAGGGAAAAAAATTGTTTTGTTAAAGGAGTGAGTAATTTACACAAATGCGATTAAGGTTTCTTCTGTTTTAGGGACTAGAACCAGATGTAATATATATTTTTTGGTTGTTTGTTTATTTCAGGGTCAGGGAGTAAAGTGTTTCTTTTCCTTTTTTTCTTTTTCCTAGCTGTAGAAGATGACATTCCTTACTCATTGGCAGGACAAGATTTCAGTTTTGTTCGCTCGCTGCTGGCTGCTACCCAATATCCATTATCCTTTTTTAGCTACAAAATCTTAAATTTTGTTTGAGACAGCAGTGCATTCATGTNGACTGAGCGGCTGAACTGAACTGAACTGGGCTAGCAAACCTTTAAAACTTTTAAAACCTTTTTTGTTCCAGACCTTGGGTTTCCATGGTGCAGAGGGACAATCTATAATCACAAACTTTTCTGTAGAGAAAAATGATTTGGTGCATGCTTTCCTGTTAAAGAAACTGATATGCCACCTCTCCCAAGAGTGCATATATTTTAGAAATTTGTGCTGCAGAGGATAAGGCTTCAATCAAAGGAGCAAATCAACTACCAGTGAAATTTCAGGCATAGGTTGGCAGAAAAAGGCAAGGCATATTTAGAAGTCCAGGTCTTCCTGGATACTTTTCAATTATTTGAAATACAGATTGAGATCATACGCATACAAAATAGCTGTAAAAATGTATCAACATACAAAACTGTTGGTAAACAATAGATATTAAGAGAGGAGAAATCTTCTAGTCAAGTGATTTTGTAAAAAGAATGCTAGGGGAACTTACAAAGGAAAAAATCTTTCATATTCTTTCTTCATTTACTAAGAATTCACTGCTTCCTTGAACAAAGAAAATAAGTTGATTCATATTATTAGAAAGCAAATGTGCTCTTAAGAAAAGTTTAATCCCAACAATTTAAGCGAAGGTTGGACTTTTTAATTACCTACCTTTCTTTCAAAGTAAAATAGAAAAGCCGTATGCAAACATATTTGCATATAGATATGTGTACATATTGGAGAAGGCAATGGCACCCCACTCCAGTACTCTTGCCTGGAAAATCCCATGGATGGAGGAGCCCAGTAGGCTACAGTCCATGGGGTCACAAAGAGTCGGACACGACTGAGCAACTTCACTTCACTTCACTTCTTACCAATTTTATTGGAAACTGGAAAACTACCCAAATATCTTTCAGTGGATGTGTAATTAAACAAATTGTGATGCATCCATTCAATGACATGCTACTTATCAATACAAATGAAGAATTCTGTTTATGTAACATTCATGATGTAATTATACAGATGAAGAACAGATTAGTAGTAGCCAGGGTAGGGGCAGGAGTGGGGTGTGGTGGGTAAGGTATAAAGTGGGTAACAGAGGAAGTTTTGTGGAGATGGTACAATTGACTATGGTGGTGATTACCCAAGACTATACATATGACAGATTGCACAGAGCTATGCAATTGAGCCTACATGCTTATGTGCATGCGCACACTACACACACATACACACACACACACACTCGCATGCATGAGTATAATTGGTGAAATTTAGATGAGCAGTAGGTTGTACCAGGTTCTTGGTTTTGATACTGTGCAGGAACTGTGTAAGATGTGAGCATTGGGGAGAGCCTGGGGAAGGAGAACACGGAAATTCCTGTACATTTCTTTGCAACCTGATGCTCTTACAATTATTTTAAATAAATGGTTAAAAGAGGTTATATTTTTTAGAGACAGGATAGAACCAGAGAACAGTGAATGCCTAGGTAAGGAGTTTATACCTAGTTTTGTAGCCAGTGGGTAATTATCAGAAAAATTTAAATAAATAATTAGCAAGATGAGAGCTGAAATTTATAATAATTATGTTGCAGGCAGGCAGGATGTAAGATGAATTGGATCAGGAGGAAATAATAGGGAGGCCAGCTGGGATGCTGTTGTTTTTTCCTTTAAATATTTACCTTTTTTAGGTTGTGGGGTTGAGCAAGAGTGGTTATTATGTGGAAGAAAATAGAACTCCAGGAAAGTCATTCATTTGAAGATGTTTACCGAACACTTATTTTATGATAGATACAATGGTCTCTGCTTTCATGCAGTTCATAGAGGGTGGATTAGACAATAAGTAAGTCAGGATATACCTAAGATTAATTTCAGAGAGTGTAAAGTTCTATGAATAAAATGAAACTGGATTTCAGCTAGAGAGTGACTTGGGAGAGAGATTCTTTAAATAAGGTAGCCAAGGGAGGAATCTCTGGAGTCTAGATGAGACTTCAGTGATCAGAAGGAACCAGCTTTATAGAAATTTTAGGGAATAGTGTTCTAGGCAAGTTGGAGAAGCAAGTGTGAAGGCCCTGAAATGACAAATATGTTTCTAGCTTTGGTGCCTGGAAGATAGGAATAGCATCAAACCAGAGGAGTTTAACTGCAAGAGGGTCGGGCAGTGGAAGACATGGTAAATTTAATTTGGGGCAGATTGAACTTAAGTGGTTGGCCAAA